GAAGATAACATACGTTTTTCGAGCTAACGCTGCCTTTTTGAGTATAACAGCATGCTGCAATAAGAGACTGTTTAGTTCATTTAGTTCATCAGATATTATTTATTTAATTCAATAATAATTGAAATAGTCATTAATAATAACGTATAATACAGAAAATAAACTAGAAAAGATTCTATTTTTCTTTTGTTTATCATTCATCATAAAAGTGTAGTTTGTATAAGTATCATACGTTGCAATGCTACAACTTATTTAAAAAAAATTTAATTCAAATTAATTTAAAGGTACATTTTATTACAAAATAATATTTATACAATATTTAAAGACAAATTTTCAGTAGTCCAGCTGAATTCAGTTAATATTTGAATGTAATTATTCCAAAGAACGTGTTCTCTACTAAAGTTCTTAATCGAACCAGTTCAGCTCCGCTCAGTTCAGAACTGCCGCACGTGCATTACGATAACATTACATTCTTCTCAATGTTCTTGTTGCGTGCGGTTCGTTGTTCGGTTCTTGCGCATACAAATTATATCAACGCGAAATCTCAGCTGCGTAAAGTGCCAACAAGCAAAATAAATAAACATATTCAAATAAATGTAAACGATAACAATTAAAGCATAGGCCGCGCCGTAACAACCGCACGCGTTACATTTGTGTTCCAAAATAAACTGTAAATAGCATATTAGCATTCGTTCAATACATTTGCAAACATTAAGTTTTAATTGCATCTAAACCGAAAGCACACGCAAATATAGCAAGCAAAACAAAAGTGAAATTAACACGTGCGTTCAACATTGTGTTCCCGAGCTTCTGCCCGCCACAGATTTTTCCCAATTGCTTTTCCTCATTTTCGTTGAATTTTTTTGCCGGCATTGTATTTTTTTAGGGCTGGCATTTGATTTGCCTTTGGATTAACTGTTAATTAAGCAAATAAGCAGCAGCCACCACAATAATAACAACAGCAGCAACACAGCAGAAAACAACAAAATGGTTCAGGTAAGCAATAGAGAAATTTATTAAAGAGAGAGAGAGAGGGAAATTACTCTAAATAAAAGAAAGGGAACTAAAATTTGGCAATAACTAAATATTTATGAATTAAGTACAGTGTGAACAAGTTCTTTTTCTGCAATCAAATTACTTTACTTAAGGCAAAGTAAATTTGACTTTTCTCGAGTTAAAATATGAACGGCAAGTAAGCATCGTGGTTTCAGAAGCTTTTTAAAAAACAAATAGAAAATATTGTTATTTAATTTAAAAGTATCAACAAATAAAAAAAAAAAAAAATAAATAATACAACTACAATTAATCAGCAGACTTGGATTTTATAATTATTTAGATAATTTTTAAAAGATAGATATTACATTATTTTAACTTTCCAGTAATTTCTATATATTTTTATTAGTTTTTATAAGTGTTTAGTCATTTTTGATAAATTGAAATTATTATAAATTTATTGTTATTAATATAAAATAATTTACATCATATAGTGTATGAAGTAAAAAGTTTTTTTTTAACTATAATAATTATTATATTAATTGTAATGGAAAAAACCGGCCAATATTTGAGATATTTTATTGTAGACAGAATTCAACGGGATATATTAAGAGATATATTATGAAATATGTTGGAAATATGTATATGTATGTATATTATCATTATCGCAAACCGTGGACTATTAGCATTAGTGTAATGCCTATGTCTTTCGACTGCCTAAAAATATATTTTATATTCATATTTTATTAATTTATGGTATTTTTTCATAAAATTTAGTTTGCTTAAAAGCAGTTTTAAGTTAATCAAGGCAGCTTTAGATTATTATTAGTAAAACAGCTATTTCTGACCAACACAAAATTTAATCAATAAAGGCAAAATCTTCTATTAGGATACTGTTTGGTTACAGTTTTGTTCTACTCAAAAACTGAATTTAGGCAAAATTTAGCTACTTCACACTTTTTTCTAAGGCCCACTTCAAAAACTATCTCTCGTTTTGGGTATTATTAAAGCTCTCGCTTTGATCATTCAAAGGAATAAGCTCACACTCAATAACAACTTTAAACACCTATAAACCGGGCTTTAAAAGCAACTGCTTTGGCCCGTGCTATTCCACCATAAAACCCTTAAAAGTCAACCTACTCGACGTATTCCAAAAACAAAAATCAAACAACAAAAAAAGGCAAACTGTTCTCACAATCGGACTTGAAAACTTTTCACTTTTTCCCAACCAACCCCTTGCCCCCGTGCAGAACGTGCGCCCGTTTCCTGACCTTTGACGTAACTTTGAGCGTTCGCTTTGCAACCCCAACTGCGAAAAATCCTTGCGTGGGATATATGAAAAAAAAAAAAAAATAAAAGAACTGGAAAATATTGACTGGCTATGCAGTTTTTCCCACCCCGCTTGCACTGTCCCAAACTGGAATCAACAATAACAACAACAACAACAGCAACAGCGAGAACAACAACCACCAAAGAGAGCAAAACGAGTTAACGCGGCATCCAGATCAAAATTTGGAAAAAAACCCAATTGGATACGTTCGTCTGTTGCAGGACACAAGAACAGTGCCAGGACTGGGAAAATTGGCCCATTTGGCCCCCTCCTTAATGAACACGAAACGTTGCATTTAGTCAATTTTCCAACCACCATCAATGAGGACCAAAGCGACTGCCGGGACGCAATTGACAGTTAAGCGCAGAGCAGCGAGATACCCTGTAGAAATGCCTACGAATAGAAAGATGTTAGAGAACTATATTTGCTTAGATAGACGGGTGGTGATGATATTCTAAAAAGCAACCATAGATAATAGACCATAAATGAATTGCAGTTGAATAAACGGTATAACTCAATTGGAAACATATAGTAATCCCTACAAGCATTCTAGTATAACTAATTTGTAAAATATATTTGACTTCTATATATAAAGTTTTATTAGTTTTGAGAATGACATGAAGTATTCCATTTTATGCTTAAATAGTCGACTGTTGGGTATATTTAAGTTTGAATATAAATTATTTACATTCCATATAATATTTCTATAGATCGTGGCCTTTAAATAGATTAGAGATTGAGCAAATTTATCATCACACACTCCTATTTATGGAGAATTTACAAGTCTCTTATAAAATATTATAGATATCTGCCAATATTTGATATGAAATCTACTCAATTCCCTATAAGATTAATAAGAGTGACTATTTATATATAATAATAATATATATACAGATTAATGTAGATAATATATGATATGAATTCTCTTTTCATTGAAGAACTAATAAGTATGGCGATTTATTTATATAATATATATGTAAATAGCCCTCGATCCCACTATTAAAACAGGTATGACTGACTATTCGCGAAAGAGTTAATTTTTACAGGGTATTCGATAACTAAAACGCTAGCAACTCGTTTACCTGCACCGCCAAATGATTGAAGTTCCACTTTTCGATTTGAAATGCGTTTTGCAACTGTCCACATAGATACAGAGGCACACACACTAATACACACACGCACTAGCAAACGTGCTAGCTCGCACACACAGTTATGCCAAAGCGCATTTTCCACATTTGCATTTTGTCCAGGCTCTATCAATGGCTGGAGTTCTTTGGGGTGGGCTGTGCGGCGGGGCTCATTCGAACGTGGCTGATGTTTGACAGAGCTTTGTTGCTATTGCTGACTGTTTAGTCAGCAGTGGATATGTGCATGTCTGTGTGTGTGTGTGTGTGTGTGTGTGCGTGCGTTGGAAAGATACAGGGGTAATAGGCGTACATCTGTGCCAGCCCGGGAAAATTGCTCAGGCTATCGAGAAATGTTTTTCGAGTCTGTTATTTGTAACGCTCTTCACGCACTCTTAGCCTGTTTCCTGGCCATGTTGCGCTGCTCCGGCCATAAACGTGGCTTCAAATCCATTCAAAGATAAGCTAAACGCACAGTTTTCTATTCAAAGTTACGATGTGCCTTAGTTAATAGAGCCATCATTTGGTAGACTCTATATCGTTTTGAGAGGACTTCCGGGACGATGCGCAGTTGAGAGTTTTAAATGCTCTACAATAGTTTAACGAGTGCTATAATTTGTAATCCATTTGATTTTTTTAAAGCATAATTCTTAAATATAGAATATTTATTTTAATTTTATTTTTGAAAATTCTATAGGCCAAATAATTTCGTGATGTTGCCTTTAATTTTTATCGATTAAGATATTGCACATTTCAATTTAGCTAAATTTCTATTCACAAATTTGAAAATTTTCGTTAAATAAAATACATCAGTTTGAAAAAAAAAAAAACAAATCTATAAAAAACAACTTAAAATATAATGAATAAAATCTAAAATAAACATAAATTAATTAAATTCATTTAAAAATAAAAATAAGAAAATCTGGTTTATAAAAAACATAAAAGTAAAAAAGAATGAAGAACAAAAAGAACAATATTTATAATTTAAATTTAAAAAAATATAAATTAGTGCATCCTAAAAAAAAAAAAAAAAAAAAAAAAAAAAAAAAATTTTTCCCTCATGACATTCTTCCAGACAAGAGCTACATAAAAAAATTTTAAAAATCATTTTACTTCTGTATATATATATAGCTATATTTATTCTTAAAAATCTATAATATATTTTGATATATATTCTTCCTATCTATAAACAGCCTAGCTATACAACATTAAAATTTCCAACATTTTTAAATCAATCAAAACGAAACCAAAATACTTCATATTAGAGATATCATCTCATCAATCTCCACCAATGTTTTGCTTTATGGCGCTTCCTTTCCTTTCCTTAGAAGAGCCATTGCGACAAAGGTGAGGTGCGTGTTGTTGCTGTTGCGGCCGTTGCAACAACAGTTGCTGTTGCTGCTTCTGTTGCTCTTGCTCCTGTTTAGGCTCGATTCGGTTTGTGTGTCGGGTGCGCCTGAAGGCAGTCGCCTTACATTTTGTTTCTACTGCTGATGGACAGTCGATTGCCATTAGAAGGTTTTGCTTTTCAATTATCAAATGCATGCTAGACTAGACTAGCTGTGCAGGCTGCGCGTGGAGCCGAATTGCAACTGCCTGCAGAGGGATTCGGTCGAGGCGGAGTCAAGGGACTGAGACGAATCGCTATCCATAACAGCTGCCAAATGACGTAACATTGTCGCCTCTGGATCTAAATCGGTATCTGGACCCGGACCCGGACCCGGAACTGGAACTGGAACTGAACCGGTTAGCGCTGCCGTCTGACCACGCAGTGATTGGTTCGGCTCGTGGGTGCCGCTGCTTATGAACTGGGCGAACTGCTGTGGCGCCTGCAGCTGGGCCAGCTGCTCCCAGTCGGGCGATGCCGTACGCAAACGCTGACGCATCTCGTTCAGGGCGCGCTGTGTCTCGTAGCCCGCCTGGGCCTCGTATTCACGTTCGCTGAGCAGGCGCCTGAACGAGGGCGGCATCACACTACGCTGCAGCTTAGTCAGCTTCAATTGGAGCCACTGCAGCAGCCACCACAGCTCCGGCCAGGGCATCAGGCAAGTAAGGCATAGCCAGCTAAACACGGAATTATTCGAGGCGTTCATGATGAACACACACGCCAAAAGTCGCATAAATCGACAATGCAAATAACGCACCCAGGCGTGGCGCCACAGAGTGCGATGATCCTGGCAAAAATTGACCAGAACATAGACGCCGGCGACGAGGGCCAGAGCCACACTCGTCGGATACTGTTCGAGCACCAGCTTGAAGTTCGTGCTCAGTGGCTGGATGCTGGTCAGCTTGCGATCGCCGTGATAGAAGAGAGCCACACAAACAACAATCACGCTGGCCAGGTGAATGCCCATCAAGGCGGCCACGCTGTAGACACACATCAGGGAATCGCTCATCGAGGTCGCCACCTCGACCAGCCACATGACAAAGCCGAGCGTAAAGCGTGCCACACGCTCCGCGTCGCAGCGATCCTGCAGCAGCGTCAGATTATACGCCTGATCCGTGAAGATGCCGTAGCAATAGTGCGCATGGGCTGGCAGCGATATATAGTGCATCCCTTTATTCCGTCCGCTCAGAAATCTACCCTCAAAGCACTCCTTGTGCGCCAGATGCGCATCGTAAACACCCTGGGCCGTGGGCGCCTTGTACTGCGAGTATTTGGCGCTCGGCCCTTGGATCATCAGGAGCAGTCGATTGCTCTGAAAGATATTCCGCAGCTTCAGCGGCTGATCACGACGGCAATAGATATGGATGCGATTCTGTGAGTAGAACGTCTGCAGCATTGTCAAGCCGTCCTGGACATGCGGTACGCCTGCATGCAAATATGTGACATGCTGATCATTGAAACGCTCCTCGAACAGGCCGTCACAGCAACCGCTCAATGCCAGCAGGAGTAGGAAAACTTTTGCAAGCATCGGAATTATTTTCCTCATTGTTTTTTTAAATGTTATGTGGAAATTGTTATAAATATGTAAAATTCGTTTAGGTTGTTGACGGGTGATGAACGCTAGAGTAATGAAATCCTGGCAACTAGCTTGGGTGTCAAAATTGAACAAAGCTACCTGATCGCATCTGATTGTTTCTCCAGTAAATAAGATCCAATTATAGTATTGTTTGAAAAGGGTTTTTAGATTATTAATAAGATTATCAGCTGTAGTGAATAATGAATAAATAGTAAAAGTTTTATAATATAATACAATTATTCGTGTTTCTTCTTTTTGATATATATAATTTGTTATTGTTTGTTAATGTTATAAAAAATACAAAAATAAATGAAAGGTAACATTTTA